AATGAGGCACCAATTTTGCTGGATCCAGTAAAATTCAGTCATTAGAATTTGTAACATCTGTAAGGAATATTCTTGTGAGAACTTTAGGATTAATTTAGCCTAAAAATAACTGATAGAAATAGAAACCTACTCTTTTTGGCATTTTAGAGAACTGATAAAAAATTTTACTGTCATTACGTGATTACATGCAAGTTGCTATTACCGTTATTATTTCTTTCTTCAAAATGTCATATATTCTAACCACACTACTAGATAAACCGTCTTTTGTTCAATTATGTCTAATTCGCTCTTAGCATTTAATTTCGTGGGGACTGGGAAAATGATATTTTTAACGCTTGTAGCCACCAACTCATAAGGGTCCAGTGAATCAGCGAAAGATGTAAATCGGAACGGGAAATTTGGGCTCCTCTTAAGCTAGCACATAACCAAGGGGTGGGGGGTGAAAAGGTTAGATTTTTACCTCTAAAATCTGTTGGGATTCATTCGATTCATCCCTGCGTATTGCGTCGATCTCCTGTAGAGTATAACCAAAGTTGTCACTTAGGTACTCTGCCATGGATACGTACCCGTCTTTGTCGATGTCCAACCTTCGGAGCATTTCCTTTGCCGACTTTCTGTCTGTTCGACTAGATATATGGTTAACATTACACACTTTAGAATGTCTAGCTTTTATAGGGGGAAAAAACGATTATTTTCGCCTAAACATTCGTTTGCTAATCATACTATGGGTACTTTAGCCAGATACTTATTCTAGCATAGTTACAGTTCGATGCATGTGCATACTTTGAGAGGGGTATTGACCTGAAAACATCCCTTTAAACACTAAACCCTATCATCCTAAAATAATGCTGAACTGGATCATCTTAATGCATCATGACGTTTGGACTGAGAGTGCAAAAACTGAACGAGTTTCTGGCATGCAACAGGCGTAAAACAAATCTCACCTGAAGACTGAGTCAATCCATGCCGCCAATTCGTTACTGTCCAATTCTCCGTCGTGGAAAGTGTCAATGCTATCAAAAAGTCGAGCCAGACGATCTTTCGCTTCAAAGGGGTGTTTATGTAAGTCGTCGGAATACGAAATTGCTTGTGAGACCAGAAGGTAGATTAGGAGGCCGTAGTGCCGCGTCATGTTGTCATGAAAATGGGTGAATTGTCAGTAGTTAAATAGAGGTCCGTAGAAATGCTGGTTAGACGTGGACACATGGGAAACTCGACACGTAGGCTATTTTCGTCGACGCCCGAACTTGTGAAGAGAATCAGAAAATGACTTCAGAAATTCACAAATTAGTTGTTTAACTCTCGGTTTTGGTAAAAGATTTTATTTAGGTGCTCCGCCACTGTACCTTCGCCAGATGGTCTTGTCTCTCGGCCATGCCAGTAACCCCAAGTCCTAGTGCATGCCTAATATATTCAATTTCTGCCAAATATTAAGTAATACGATGATGGTTTATCCACCGGTATTGGTTAGGCTCGACTTTCGTACTTTGAAATGGCCTTCTTGTACCTCGCTGGGTGGGCTGGCCTTCAGGCCATGCCAATAGCTCAATCACCTTCTCTGCGCTGAATATATATTCTGCCCGAGTACTTTGTCTTCTTTCGTCTTTAAGGAGGTCTCGAATCGCTACAATTACGTCTCCACCCTTCTTTAGGGAAGTATTGGGGGCTACAAGAAGTGGTCCCTATTTTCTTAAAGCTTCATGCTTAAAATGCGAAACTAATAGCAGCAGCTTTCGAATTGGTGGTTAAAAATTTTTGATATACATCACACAAAATGTTTTATAAAATTCACGCACATGTACATTTATCGCATAACAGAAAATTTCGCGGACAAAATTTTAAGATTAGAATTTGAAAATTGCATAGGATTAAGTAAAGATCAGAAGTTCACTGTATTTAATGCAAAACATTAGTTTGCGAAAACAACTTGAGGATAAATTGCAATTACTTCGTTGGTAATGAGGTTAAAGGTCTGTTTAAAAACGAGGCCTATGAGGTCAAAAACCATCAAATTAATGCCCGAATTTAAATGAATGTTGCGTATTTCATCGTGACAAATAAATCAAGAGCAGATTTTTATATCCGAACGCATTATTCCAGATTGTATGCAACATGACTTTTGCCACCTGCAACACTGCTAATATGAAGGTAGTTAGAGTACCTTTTTGAGAAATTCTCATCACCTTTTATAGGAAAACTTTCAATGAATCCAACGCTTAGCAGAAATGTAGGTAATCCTTTCAAGCAAATTATGCACAAAAGCAGAAAATTTTTAATATGACAAACCTGGGTCAGTATAACCTAACTATACCTCTGGTTACAAGTTTTTACAATCTGTTGTTTGTTTTGTTGAACAGTCCTGTTCGCGTGCTTCTAAGTATCTCATTAAGGGTTGCCGGCGCACTGGTGTTATAAAAGTCGAGTCATGGATGTTCGAGACGTCCTCGGATACACCGTAATTTTACTTGTTTTTATTGACTTTTTCACAGTCTAATAGTATCTCATCGGGTAAAAGAACTATAAAACCGCCTGATCCCCCAACATTGGGACCTAGCAAATCCATTGATCCTTTTGCAGAACCCCGAGCCAAGGCCCCAAGAACAGATGATTTCAATGGGTTAGGATCCAAGTCGGATTCTCTGAAAGGTATGATGCGGAATATTTGTGACGTATAATTGGTCCGTTTTTGTCGCAATCTGGTCTCGTGACTTTACAGAAATCGACAGTGACATTTTGGTGGGCACTCGGACTGAAGCTGATGATGAGCTCGGTATGGTTAGCGAGGATGACATAACTGAGTCAACCGTACGGAAGATGTGTACCCTCCTTGAAAAGCGTATTTTGGCCAATCAAGAAGCTCGAACTAAGTTTCCAGATCAGCCAACAAAATTTATGGACTCAGAAGTTGAATTGCAGGAGACTCTTGAGAGTATGCAGGTAGTCTATGACTTCAATACATTTATAACTTGTTTTGAACTTAGATTTTAGCGGCGAACCCAAATCTCTATGGCGTTTTGGCTGCCCAGACACGGCCTCTTCATTTGCTGATCGGTCTGTTGTCTCATGATAACACAGATATCAGCGTCAACGTCATAGACCTCCTCCATAGTCTTCTCGAGCCAACTGGTTTGAAGGACTCTGACTCAGATGCTATAGGGCCTCTCCTCGAGTTTTTCTTTTCGAACCAGCTAGTACAACTTCTTACACAGAATCTGGCACGTCTTGACGAGTCAGTTCGCGACGAAGCTGACGGTGTTCACACAACCCTTGGCATCATCGAGAGCCTTTTGGATATCCGCCCTGATATGGCCGTGACCATTGCCCAACAGGGCATATATTCCTGGCTTCTGCGTCGCATTCAAAGACGACAGTTTGATAAAAACAAGCTCTATGTTTCCGAGGTGCTGGCTATCCTCCTCCAACTGGATGACGCCAATAAGACGCGTCTGGGTGAGATGGACGGCATTGACGTTTTGCTCCAACAACTTGCCGCTTACAAGCGTCACGATCCGAGCAGTCGAGAGGAGGCGGAGATGATGTACAATCTCTTCGATTGCCTCTGCTCCACCCTTATGCTTGCTTCGAATAAGGACAAATTCCTCAAGGGCGAGGGTGTCCAACTCATGAATTTGATGCTCCGGTGAGCATTTACTCGCACTTTTAACTTGAAACTGATTTTTCTGTTTAGAGCACTGTTGGGCGTAATTGCTATCCAATTTCTAATTGATGTTGTGAAGTTTTGCCGACTATTTTAGTTTTCCGGTGTACCAAGTCACTTCATATTCCTAGTGTTAAATCTTGTGACCATGGTCATTTTTAACGGTTTTTCAATGATGAATTATTTGTTTTAGCGTTTGACTTGGTGTTGTCTAAGCGTTGGGTCAACGACTCGGAGTTGTATTTCATTGAGTCCTCAAAGATGCGATAATCAACTTGGATCGTTCATGCCTTTGTAGAGAAATGATTGACAAAATTAGGCAGCGTTTAGTTTTTTTCACGTAAGAATATGTAAGGATTTCACGTGTTTATTCTCCCTTTGTATTGAACAGGTTGATTTCGATTCTGATCCGCAAAGTTAAAATGATGGACTATCGTATGGATTGCTAAATGGTTTACTCATGTCCAGTATTTAATAGTTATCAACAAAAAAAGTTATCGTGTCCATCAATATCCTGTTCCTGTTAAATGTGCTGATAGCTTATCTCATTTGCGTTGTTTTCCAATCTGCGTTGCAAGCAATTGGTTTTTATTTGCTGAAGCTCAACACAACATCCACCCTAGTCTTTTGCTAGTCTTTACGTCAGCTGCTTCTTTATAATGCAATGTTTGGGGACAACCAACTGATTTGCTTTGATTTGGTTTTGTATTGAACAATTCCTCTTTCACGCCCAAAGTTTGGGCTCATTATTCATCATTGAGTTCTCACTACTGTTTTTGCTCTGCTGAATCGAATGTCAAGCTTTGCAATCGCATCTTTAACTCAGCCGTATGCGATGTATAATGACAGCATTAATTCCCAATTTTACAATTTCGTTACTATTTTAATGACAATATTGTGGGAAAATTTGATTCAGGCGTAAGGACGCGTTTGCTCAATAGGATTTAGACGTTAAACTTATGCAACTTGTTCACTTTACTACTAAGATTTAAAATTGTGCGTAAGTGCTATTGTAATCATTCGCAAACTTCGTAAAAATTTAAATGGTGGTGGAAACATCCTTCGGCATCAGAATTACCCCTGTGATACTTCAAAAGGACAAGCTTTGCAGCAGAGTCATTAAAGTTAGCCCTAGACTCCAGCATGTGCTATTGGACAAAAAGATGTGTCGATGAACGTTAATTTTAATTGTTTCTCCGCATAGTTGCATCTTACACTGATGCAGTTATTCCAGAGTTTAGCTGACACCTGGCAAGGCCAGTCTAACATGGCGCCATTTGGCGTAGTGGCTGAGCTATCCTAAAGCAGTCAGATTTCTTTTGGCTTCAGTGTTAAAACGTCCACTTCTGCAGGCCTCCAATGCTCGTTTTGATTCCGCTTTTATCAAATACAACAATACAATGTAGATTCTTCCCCTTTTCAAGTCGGTAAAGGCAGTACTCAATTCTTCCGAGCTGGACAAAATTCAAGGACTGCTTTGTTGCCCATTGTGTGCAAACGTTTCGAAATCATACTTTTTCGTGCATGAGTGTGCCATCATTCCCTTGG